GGATTTATGAATCATATTAAGACGCATCTAAATAAGATCATCTTGACCAAGATATTCCTTGAGACGTTTGCTCAAGTCTCGCCTTATTTTTGACTCTGAATCTAGAGGGCGTCTTAAGACTAAACTTAAGACGATCTTAAAAATAAGTACGGACTATGAATACGGCCCTAAGACGCATCTAAATAAGATCATCTTGACCAAGATACCAGCGGTGGAAACCGTCCTAAGAAACTACAATGGCATGGCCGCTCTCAGGTTTCTCTCTGATAATACCAGAGAGAAACCTGAGAGCGGTAATCCTATTGTAATTTTTTACGACGGTTTCAACCGCTGATTTTAGCCGTATTTCCACAAAAGTGGAACTCAAAGGCCGTTCTCCATTAAACTCAAGTTGCAGGTCTCGTGGAACTGATCAATCACGTTGGTCAATTGGCTGATTTGACTCTGCAATTGGTCAATTCCACGAAATCTGCGACTTGCGTTTAATGTAGAACGGCCTTTGAGTTCCACTTTTGTGGAAATATGGCTAAAACCAGCGGTTGAAACCGTCGTAAAAAATTACAATAAAATGGCCGCTCTCAGGTTTTTCTCTGATAATACACAGCGTTGAGTTCCAATAAGTTGTGTTCTTTAATTTACTGTTAGTACTAAAAATCTATAATATATATAACGTAAACTATAGATTTTCAGTACTCTAGTGAATTTCGGAACTTAGTTTCATTCATTACTTGACAATGGGATAACCATGTGTAAACATTCAAAAAGAAAACTTTTATTGATATACTTCTACACAACATATTGCTATTATCAAAAAGATAAAAAACTAATATAATATTTTCCTAGATCTTAAAATAAATGTCAAAAACGATGTCAAAAAATATCTTTTAGACTTCAATTTATACACATATTTCGGATAACAATAAGTTGGTACCTTTTTGATGTCACAAAACAGCCATCTATCAAATCATATTAACATTTTGTCTTTTAGACAACACTTTTCTTCTTATGTTAAAAAATCATAAAAAAAACATCTTTCAAACAACAGTAAAACAGATGTCGATTTAATAGCATACATTGGTTATCTTATGGTAAAATCCTAAAGGCAACCTTACTTCGCTAACTTATAGATACCAAGTAAGGGCCTCCGCACAAACTCTTTCTTAACGCGTTACGTTACGTTAAGTACTAGTTTGTGCGTTGAATAAAGTTCAAGTTTACATACTAATCTAAGTTTATGACTAGTAA